TGGCCATGATTGGTAAGGGCCAATGGGAAATTTGGCCAGGACACCGTGGTTACACCCCAACTCTTTTCGAGAAACGCCCTGGGATTTTTAATGACCACAGAGAGTCAGGACCTCGGTTTTACGTCTCATCCGAAGGACAGCGCCTGTTTACAGTATAGTGTCCCCATCACTATACTGGGGCATTAGGACCCACATGGACCTCAGGGTGAGCGCCCCCTGCTGGCCCCACGAACACCTCTTCCAGCAGCAACCTTAGTTTTCCCAGGAGGTCTCCCATCCAGGTACTGACCAGGCTCAACCTGCTTAGCTTCAGTGGGTTACCAGTTGTGAGTTGCAGGGTGATATGGCTGCTGTAAGCACAATCAATTTTCAGTTTCCTGTTTAGGTTTAAAACATTCTGTCATGTTTGTCTTTACTAATTAAGAAAATAAGGCCTATATTTTGAAAAAAGCATTTCATGTTTGGTTATTCTGTGATTTCAGTGTGGTGGACAAGGCTCGATTGGCAGAGTGGAAATTTAGTCTTCGTCAGACCTCCTTGGACTGTTAAAAACATTTGCCACCATTTTACAAAGTCATTCAGCTATGTAGTTTGATGCGGATTGGTGCCAGATCTGTCTGTCACTGGCTCACTGTGTCATCCTGAGTGAGGTACCACACTTCCTTGTGCATATTTCACTATTAGAAATGTTTGCTGAATAGGGGAGCTCCAAAACAACAAAAAAAAATATTTAATAAGAATAAATTAAATAATTGTCACTTTCTCCTAACCATCTCAATAATGCCACAGTGCCAATCTCAGTAATCAGTCCTATCATTAAAGCCTTCTATGGGATGTGATATGTTATCTATCTTTCACAGGAGCCCACTTGATTGTGGAACAAACTAGCTGCATGTTTTAGTTCTAAAGAGCATTTTGGTCTTGCAAATGGACAGGTGTCCAAATTCAACCACAAACCATGATTTTTTGTTCTTGTAGCCCTGACTGGATTGAAATAGCGCAGAACACACCTTCTGTTAAAGCCAGGACCCTTTGTGAACAGAGTGTGTGGTGGATTTAAGTAACAGTCTGGGCTAGCAACCTGCTAGAAAGCAGATGGTAAATATAAACCTAGTGGTTGACTTTTTTTATTGGATGGTCTACAAAATAAGCCCCATATCAAAACAGTTGTTAATGTGACATGAACAGGTATTCTGCCCTTCAAGTAAACATGACAGCACTCATGCATTGTTTTGTTTATTCTTCTACAGGTGTGTAGCAACAACTAGAATGTGCTGCCTGTGTTTAAGGTATCTGGTGCCTGGAGTGCCAGTGTGACTAGAATGACCATCCTGTGTTCAGATTGCTTGGAAATGCAAAAGTTTTCACAGCTTGAAATTCCAAAAGTAGTGATATCATTGAGTAGAAAGAAGGATTAATGCCTAATTTTAAAGGTCTGTTTTTAATGCACTGTAACTTAATGAACCCTATCACCAGCTTAGACACTATAATGTGAATACAGATAATCCTCTGACAGTGTGGTTTCTCTCAGGATTTGTTAGGGTTTACTACCAGGTAAATCTTTTCAGCCTTTTGCCTTTTGTAGAGTGCAAAGTGTATTCAATCCCCCCATTTCAGGTGAGCATATGTAAGTATTGGGACAAATGTCTGACGAGTGTTAGAACTGTTGCAGATAGTTTGAGCATTACAAATCATCAATAAGGAACGTCTTGAAAAAGGAAAACAGCAGCAATTGGTGACAGAAAAATAATGAGAGTTGTGAAGAAAAAACGTACAATAACAACCAAAGAAATTGCAGACTATCTAGGGTTCAGGGCTGAAAGTATTTCAGTACACTTATGTGCAGAAGACTGCAACAGGAGAATTACAATGGATACACCGCAAAATGCAAGCCTCTCATCAGAACTAAAAAAAAGGTTCATATTAGAAATTGTGAAGAGGATACTTAGGTATATGGTTCAAGTACAATTTAAATATTGTCCCCTTGATCTCAATTTCTGAGTAGTTTTGGGCAGTATGTAATTTCAGTACTGTGAGTGAAAAGTGTTGTATCGTTGTGAACTAGCTTTCTTGAACCAAGAGGAGGCTAGTTGGCCTATCTAGTCCATTTGCTAGTTAGTGTCTAGTCTAATTGATCCTCAGATCTTATCTAGCCATATTTTGAAAAAAGCCTGGGTATTAACTTCAGCAACATGTTTGGTTAGCTTGCTCCATACTTCTCTAACCCTTTGTGTAAAGAAGTCTTTCCTGTTCTTGTGTTTTAAATGCACTTCCATGAAGTAGATGCTGTGCAAGTGAAAAAACGTATCTTAGCACTTTTTTCCCCCAGAAGATACACAGTCACACTTTCCTTTATGTTCTAGATTTTAGCCTTTGGTTTGGCCATTCTCCTGTGATTGTGATAAAATGTATTGCTGTATAAATTGTGACTATTTTAACTGTCAATTGTCTGGCTAGCCATATACTTTCCACACATTGGAACCAGACTACATCAGTTTCTGGTGTCCTCTTGTCTGCATGGCTCCGTAACATAGAGAAGAAACCATTCTCATAATTGCAAAATGGAGAATCCTTCCTTTAGAAGAAGTCTGATTTTCTTTGCGCCTACAGCACCAAGTGAAATGTGCAGAGTAGCAGCTTATTCTTTCTCTTCTCATGTTGTCAGAACACTGCACTCTGATAAAGTGCTGGGCCCAGTGTGCTTCCTGGTTTGATCTCGGGAGGATGGCTTTGTACTGTCTTTGGACAGTCCCCAGGAATAAGACGCTTTGTGCGTAGTCTGCAGGCTATATTTAGCTAACTGGAACCGGAATGTGTTTTGACAGTCGGGCCCTGCATGGGGGTGTGGCTATGTCAAAGAGTCACTGTGTTGAAGAAATGAATAGCTGTGCCGTGTGGAGCGGGGAGATAATCACACTTTGATTATTGCATTTGTACTCTATTGGGTGCTTGTGTCAATATTAATCGGGGATGTACGTGGTGGTTTTAATCAAACGTTTGGCTCTTTAAAGAACCGCAGACTTCCCTGTCTGGCTGCTGCGCTTTCAGCCCTCTGTATTGTACGGGCTGGCCGAGTGCTCTCCTGTGAGGGCTGGAGGGAGTGGGGGAAGAACGACCCACGTTTATTCTGTCTGCTTAGCTTCCTAGATCAGGGACGGCGAGTGCTGCCTTGTTAAATTGTTTTTCCCTTTGAGTCATTAAAGTCTTTTCTAGTCAGAGCTGTTGGAGTTGGTGGACATAGCTTGTTACTTTCCGAAAACCGTATATTCTTAATTTCACTAATGCTTATTTAAAGTGTCTATTATGGACCTTTTTATATTATTGGGCATTTTAGTGCATTCATCGGAGCGCAGTTGGGTAAAATAGCAGTGCTCTACCTGGGATTTGAACCTCCAGCCTTCAGGTTCCCCTAGGCAATCTGAGCTGTAACTACTTCGCCACACTACTGCTGTATAATGGGTTTTTTTTTCACTTTTTAAGGAGGACTCGCGTGTCAACTTGAGTCTGTCTGACTGTTCATATCGGCTCTGTGGATTTTGTGTTGCTTATGAAGTTGGTGGTGTAGAAGTTTTTGTTGTTCAAGCCAAGGTGGGAGATGGGTACAACTGGTGCAGTCTGAGTGAGACTGATAAGGAAATTGAATAGCGGGCAATTAGGAATAAACCCTTCAGAGAAGAGGGGTTTTATTCTGGTTTTACTCCATGAGGTGTTGAGGCTTAATGCTGTGCTGTAGTTGTAAAAGGTGCCAGCTTCCCACTGGTAATTTAAGCGAACAGAAGCAACTTCTAGTGCTTCCATCAGTTCAGCAGTGGCTTCTGGTGTTTTTCCCCTAAGAGCAAAAACCAGTTGGGTATATTTCTTTTGTATTAAAATGTGATTACAGTCCTCATCTCGAAGTGAGATCTCTGGTTTTGTACAGTCTCTAGTGTATGTTTTAATAATAATAATTGCTTACACTTATATAGTGCTTTTTCTGGACACTCCACTCCAAGCGCTTTACAGGTAATGGGGACTCCCCTCCGCCACCACCAATGTGCAGTATCCACCTGGATGATGCGACGGCACCCATAGTGCACCAGAACGCTCACCACACATCAGCAATCAGTGGGGAGGAGAGCAGAGTAATGAAGTCAATTCATAGATGGGGATTATTAGGAGGCCATGATTGGTAAGGGCCAATGGGAAATTTGGCCAGGACGACGGGGTTACACCCCTACTCTTTTCAAGAAACGCCCTGGGATTTTTAATGACCACAGAGTCAGGACCTTGGTTTTACGTCTGATTTAAAGGACGGAGCCTGTTTACAGTATAGTGTCCCCATCCCTATACTGGGGCATTAGGACTCACATGGACTGCGGGGTGAGCGCCCCCTGCTGGCCCCACGAACACCTCTTCCAGCAGCAACCTTAGTTTTTCCCAGGAGGTCTCCCATCCAGGTACTGACCTGCTTAGCTTCAGTGGGTTGCCATGGGTTTTTTTTGCAGTGGCAGTTTAGCTTCTGTCTCTAAATGTCGGAGTTTCCTTCTTCAGGCTGTTCTGGTACAGCATGAGGCTGTTGTTTGAATTTTGTAATGGTTCTTTTCAGAATTAACAACATGTTCAGTTTAAATAGAAACCACTTTTCCGTTTCTTCCAGAGGAGCTGCTGGTTCGGGGCCCAGGATACACGTCCAAACACAAATCTTGTTTCTGACCCATGTCCTCTTGATTGTATTGACTTTCCAGATCCTTTCTGTTTCCCCTCAACCATGGTATTAAATGGTATCTTCCATTTAATTAAAGAAACCTTTTTGCAACAAAGTATTTTGGTGTCTTATTAAAAAAAAATATTGTGGGGACACTGCAGTACTGGTATCGGTAGTCGCAGAGAAGCAGCAGATGTCCCTAGGAGTCTCTTACGCAGCATCCACTGATACTGTCTCTGAAACCACTGTTACTGGCTTTGAATTGACAAAAATACTAAATCTTTTTTTTTTCTCTCTCTCTCCTTTTCTCTTTCAGGTTATGTATTTCACACTATGTGCTGAATGTCCATGATGTCTGAAAATATTTAAGAATATTGATGATTGGAAGAGTTTTTTGATTCCAGTGGAATCTGTAGGCTTTTTTGTTTTTGTTTTTAAGAAAATTAAAGAAAATTGTACTCTGCTACAATGCCCGTACAAGCTCCACAATGGACGGAATTTCTTTTGTGCCCCATCTGCACGCAGACCTTTGAGGAAACCATCCGCAAGCCCATCAGTCTGGGCTGCGGCCACACGGTCTGCAAGATGTGTTTGAACAAGCTGCACCGCAAAGCCTGTCCCTTCGACCAGACCACTATCAACACCGACATCGAGCAGCTGCCTGTCAACTCTGCGTTGCTGCAGCTGGTGGGCGGACAGGTAGGGGGCACATTGAGGTGCTGCTAATGTGTTTCTAACACAGGCTGCGTCTACTGTTATCATTTAACATTTTGAAATGATAATTCAGGCATGATTTCCATCAGCAATACATGCAGTTCGTTTGTAGCATTTAAATGCCGTGGTGTAAAAATTAATAAGTGGCTGGTTCTTATGTCAATATAAAATACTGTTTGTACCATTTTAGTTTTAAAACTTTTTTCTCACTCTTTTTCTATAATTTAAGTTGCTTTAACATAGTATTGCAGAAAGTTACAGCTGTGGGTTTTTCCAGGTTTTACTTATACAGCTTGTCCAATCTCCTTTGTGTTGAACTTCTGTTGCCAAACAACTTTGTTAAAATGGGGATCGAGGGGGGTTTCTAGCTCTGTCGGCATCTTTTTTTTCTCTTGAAAAGCTGAAATTGCTTCAGAGCGATATGCCTGTAGAAATCCAGATATTTTCATTTGAAAAGCATTTTGTTAATCACAAAAGTTTTAAAGATGACCTCATCACCAGTTAATATAAGCAGTGCTAGTCTATAATCTGTTAAACTGTTCAAATCTGCACAGTCATGAACAAGAAATGACTGAAGCTGCTGGAGCAAGTAGTGTGAGGAGGTCTGTCTGCATAGTTTCTGTTCCAGCCAAGCTGACACTCGGTCTCTGCAGCCTGCGCCTTTGTCCTTCTTTGGTCATTCCTTGCACCTCTAGTGCTGAGTCCAGGCATGCTGAGTCATGTCACCCAACAGACTAGGCCATATTGGAACGCTGAGTCATTATTTGCTATGATGGACAGTAGCCAGCCCAGGTTGCATTCCCCTGGAGTTCCAGCAAGAACAACCTCACATGTGGAAGATCTTGTGTTGGCTTGCAGCCCTGTGGCTCTAAGTCTCAGGGAAGATTGGGTTAGGATAATTTGGGGATTCATATTAGCTCTTGCTAATCAGAGACAATAAAATTGTCTCTGATGAAGTGTGACTTAAATTATACTGAGTTGTTTCACCATGTGCTTGCTTGGATTAAGCTAACAAGATAGATGTAAATCCCTGTTAAAAATTGAATCAGTTAGCAAGGTCTGTTAGTTCCTTTCAGCTTTTTCCTTGCAGAGTAGAAACATTTTCATTTTCTGGCAGATTATTTTTACAGATGAAATCCTTTATTTAGCAATTGTAATAATCACAAAACACAGTAGAAGGCTGTCTATATCTAGTATGTAACTGCTGTACGCAGCTGACGGTATGGAACATGAAGGATGCCTGTGTTAACATACAGGTAGAAAGCAAGGAATAAGAGTTCAAGGTTGAAAGATAAAATATCCATGTGATTTATAGTAGATATGTGAATACAATTATATTTGATAGCTGTGATGTTTCTGGATTGTTTTCAGTAATAAAAGTGAATTTGGTATTTTTCTGAGTGTAGATGTTATGAGCTGGTATCTCAGGGCCGAAGACAATGGCAGCTGAAACCTTGAGTTGCCAGGCAGAGTTACAGCACAGACAGTAGTTTATAGTAGCAGTAGTTGCTGAAGGACTTTTTCAATACAATGCAGAGTGCTTGTCAGGCCCAAAGTCTTGGATCCAGATCCTGCACAAAATAACTTGAGCTAGGTGTCAAAGTTTACCACACCGTGAGAGTTCCACAGTGTATACAAGGTGTTCATTAGAAGTGTTCTGTTTCTGATTTACACTTTGTTGTTCCTGCTCTGACTTGCAGTGTTAAAATGGGATTGAAATTCATTGGAGCATGGGTGGCTTTAAAATATCAAGTTGGTCAGTGTTTTTTACAATTCTCTGTGCGATTGGAAGGCAGAAAATGACTAGGATTTCAGATAGAGCCACCTCAGTGCAACCTAGTTCTTTTTCTCTGGAAAACATATCTAAAAACAGGTATTTACAGCAAAGTGTTTCTCAGTAAATGTACTCAGAAAATATTATAAAATACTAATAATTGTTATACAAGTCTTTAATTAAATGAAATTTAAAGAGCAGTAGTAATCTGCTGGGCAAGCAGTAGTAAGATCCACATCTCTGTAATAAGGATGCTTTTAAATAGTTTTTCTTCAGCACTGCAAAAAATATTTGTGGCTATTATGACCCATGTTTCTTTGAATCAAGGTCCAACACTTTTCAGTTACAATCAGGTTGATTCTTGAAATTCTGATTTGGCTTTGTTAAACCTCAAATCCTTGTTTTCCATCAGGGAGATGTGCTGATTAATGTGCAGCACTGTGCAGCCGAGTAAGCCTTGCTCTGATCACCTAGCTCTGATTTAATGTCTTTCTCTTTTTCCTTCAACAGGTGCCCAAACAGCAGCCCATCACGCTGTTAACAGGAGCAGAAGACACCAAACACTATGATGAAGCACGGAAGTGTGTGGAGGAGCTCGCTCTCTACCTCAAACCTCTCAGCAGCACCCGAGGTAAGACATGCTGCTGGTTTCTAGACATAAGCTCTTTTCTAGCCATGTCATTGTGGTCACCTTGTCAACTGAGATTTCGTTGTGGACACCCCAGTTGTTTCCTTCCATACCACCCTTAAAATAAGCTCTTGCTGCTGCAGTAGGGATTTGATATTAATGTCAGCAGGCCACTGGAAGTGGCAACAGAAATGACCTGTGTCTGGTGAATTTCGCCTCATGTTTCTTTTACTACCTACAAGAGGATAATTATTTCATATGACAAGGAGACAGTTCAGTCTGCCTCAGACATTGATGTGTGTGAAATACAGGAATTTCAAGGAAGAGAAATATTGCTAAGAACAAAAATTACTATTTTAGATAAGTATGATATATTGTAAAAGAAAGTGCACCTGTTATGCCATACTTATTTCCAAAGAGACCTTTGATGTTTTTGAATTGGGTATGTAAGGTTGTTTTAATTTTTCTTCCTTATTTGTGGAGATAAGATAGTGTCCTTCATAAAAACTGATCAAAAAGTTAGTTTAAGAACAAGGAATGTTTGAAGTTTATGTAATTAATATAATAGCAATCCCAATTTCTGTTAAAAATACTCAGATCTAGAGGAGGTTTCTAGAATTATTAAGGGATATAAAGGAATTAAAGTTGTTCACTGTGATAGTGTGTAAAGAAGAGGAAATATCAATACCATGATATCTGAAATGCTTCACAAGCAGCAGAGTCAGATGTTGGCCTGCTGTCATCATTGCAAAATGTAATGGCTGTTATGCTCTCCTGGACCAGTTCTATACCCTAATAGAGCAATAGAATCATTAAAGTTATAGTTAACGGATGAGATAGTGATTGCAGGACATTAAATACTTATAAAGGTATATATCTGTATAGAATGATGAGCAAAATCACCTTGTAATGTGTTATACCAAATCTGCAATCAGACTTGTTCAAATGAGTTTCAGCTGTATCAGCTTTTTGAAACTTTAAATTTAGTTATTTAAAATATGAAAGCTCAACTGAAGACTACTAAGGGTAAGAGGTTATCAAATATTTGGTGGAAGCACCTTTTGTAGCAATTACAGCTGTTAGTCTTTTGGGGTAAGTACCTACAGTCTTGTTTCTCCTGAACACCGATTCTATGAGCTAAGGGGGAGCACATCTTAAGGATTTTACGATTTGTGGGTTCCCTTTCCCTTACTGTTTAAATGTAGTTAAGCAACTCTTTGCATTAATGTGTTGTATGCACAGTGGTTTTTTGAACTTTGGCTCTGTGTTGATGAGCACTGCGTGCCTCACAGGTGTCGGGCTGAACAGCACCACTCAGAGCATGCTGAGCCGCCCCATGCAGAGGAAACTGGTGACGCTAGTGCACTGCCAGCTGGTGGAGGAGGAGGGGCGCATCAGAGCCATGCGGGCTGCCCGTTCCCTTGGCGAGAGGACAGTAACAGAGCTCATCCTGCAGCACCAAAATCCACAGCAGCTATCTTCCAACCTGTGGGCAGCTGTCCGTGCAAGGGGCTGCCAGTTCCTCGGGCCTGGTAAAGTGCACCTGTCCAAAACATGATGTTCTGTCAGACCTGGTCTGCATTCTGCAGGTTCTAGAATGCACATATAGAGCCTACACCAGATTGTCCATTTTTGAATAACACAAGCTGAAACTTCTTTAGGAACTATATTCTCCTTCATATTGACTGTACTAACTAAACATATCAGTTAAGCGGTAGGGAGAACTGAAAATGTATCTATACCAGTAAGCCTTGTTTTGAATGCCAGACATTCACTTATCACTAGCATTAGTGAAAGCTGCAAATAAATGTAACCTTGGAATAGTCACTGGTTATAATCTCTGAAGTGTGGCACCTATTAACACACTTTAAGTATCGATATGGGGGTGGGTCGAGCTCAGAGTCTACAGATTTTGCCATTGTTAGGTACCTTTTCATTCAGTGCTATTATATCAAGTGTTATATACTCAAGATATATTGTCACATTAGAGAGAAAGCATCATTTGAAGAATTGTATGCATCTCTACAAGCAAACTGACACCTGTGCTAGCTCTCACTAAAAGGGTCAGACGTGGCATAACTACATGTATAGGTAAACCAAAAACTCCAAGATGGGTTACAGTTTCAAGTGCTTAAGCAAGCAATGTCTGACCTGCTTTTGTATTTGTCATGTACATTATCTGTATAGTCCTGCATGCAACTGCTGTATCGCTTAATAATACTCAGTAAATCTTGTGTCCTCCTGCAGCAATGCAGGAAGAGGCCCTGAAGCTGGTTCTGCTCGCCCTGGAAGACGGCTCAGCTCTGTCCCGGAAGGTCCTGGTTCTGTTTGTGGTTCAGAGGCTAGAGCCACGCTTCCCTCAGGCCTCAAAGACGAGCATTGGCCATGTTGTGCAGCTCCTTTATCGGGCGTCCTGTTTCAAAGTAAGGGCAAAGTTACAGTCTAGCAAAGTCTAGAGAAGATGTATTCTGGATTTTGCAGCATTTGTTTGTTACATTTCAGGTACAATTTTAATGTTTCTCTTATCAGTGTTGTATTGTGGCAATGAATGCCAGCAAACCGTTTACAGATAGGGTGGTATATACAGACAGCCCCCATTATAACTATCCCCACTATGCAATTGTCCTTGCAGTTACACCATTGATTTTTGTTAACTGGAACGGAAACAATACATCCTACAAAGTGCTCTGGATGCAAAATTCTCACAAAAATGAGCATTGAAAAGAACAAAAAAATTGCTAAAATTCTTGTAAATGTCCTTTGTAATAAAATAAATTTAGCCTTGTCATATACAGTACTATCGTACTGTTTTAATTGTTTGCATGTGTGAACTGTACAGGCATGTATTGTGTGTTGTAAGTTGCAGTAGAATATGGGAAGTTCCCACGTACTCTGTCATCTTACAGATCCGCCCTGGATCCCCTGCACCATTGCCTGTCTCCAGTACTCTCTTAGTGCGCTTCTCAGTTATTGGTGAACATGTGCAATGTTTTTATCGTCTCACAATTACCACATCCCTGCAACATGGGTTCAGAGCATTGTGGAACAAATATTTCAAGTGCTGAGTGTCAGCTACATGTAAAAATTCATTTGTTAAAAGTAGTGCAAAGAGGTGAATATCCGAGTGGTGTTGGCTGTTTAGGATTTTTTTCTGGTTGCAAAGTCTGGATTATTTAATTGTTTCCTATGGATGAATCCCTGTTATGAGCCCAACAGTTTGCAATTTGTATTCCTTGTTCAAGTTTAACCCTTATCGTGTTTAAAGAATTTCTCATTCTTTTTCAAAAGTTAAATGCATTTCATTTCTAATATGACAAGAAGGGAGCAGAGCACAAAGAATTCACAAGAAACAACTTACATTTGATTGAATTGAAAAATTCTACACTGTGAGTTTAGTCCAGACTTTGCAGTCCACATTAAAGACTTGTCATGAGGACCCTTCTGGCTAATCGGGATTTGATTCGCAGTAGGGTTCTTTTTGGTGGAAAATGCCAGGATTGCATTTTCACAGTAATGGAGCTCTGTGGGAATGGCCTGGACAGAATGACAAACCTTTGAATCTGCTCTTCTGTATTTTGTGAGTTTTTCTTGTATGTTTGAGAATTTGTTGACAACTGCAGGAGATTTTTAGACAGGGGTCCTCACCTTGCTCCTGCAAAATCGTAGGCCTTTCTGGTTTTCAGTACAGGTATCCTAGTACATACATGTAGTCAATAACTAGCTAAATTATCAAGTTTTCACATTTTATTTTTTGTAACACAAAAATAGTCTATTCACTTATTAAAGGCCGCATGGTAAATACTGTGAAATTGAAACACATAGCATACCTTTGTCTAAATCTTTTTATGTTTTTAAATGTGTAATAATGCATTAGTCAGTGTGCTCAATGTTAATCGGGCAGCCTTCATATGATGTAAATGTATCCATTTGTAGTGCTCTTAAATGTAGTGCTTTGCTCAAGGGTACAGCAGCCTTACCCCACCTGGAATTTGAACCCACAACCTTGCAGTTACTGGTTGAGAATGTAAACCACATCTACACTACGTCTTTTTAGAAAACTAGCTGAACTGACAGAACCTTTGAATTGGCACAATGCTTCAGTATGTGGTAGGTTGTTTTTGTGGAGCTTTACCAATCATTTCTTACTTCATTTCTTTACCAATCATACTTGACCATACTTGAGTCTCCTGGCTGACAGCATTTCCAGCTTTCTTTAGCTATTTTATCTGCAGGATTTGATCCCGGACATCTGCATTTATATTCACATCCCCATGCAGAAGCTCACTTACTCAATTATCTCATGAAAACACCAATATTGCTTTTTGTCTAGGTGAATATTCTGCCTCATCTCTCAGAATCATTTAATGATTCAGGACCTTTTAATTCTGTGACTCCTGTGGCAGCTCCTGAGCACCTTTCCTGTCACCCACAGGTAACCAAGAGAGATGAAGACTCCTCACTGATGCAGCTGAAGGAGGAGTTCAGGACGTATGAGGCCCTTCGGCGCGAGCATGACTCCCAGATCGTCCAGATAGCCATGGAAGGTGGACTGCGCATCGCCCCAGACCAGTGGTCTTCACTGCTATATGGGGACCAGTCCCATAAATCCCACATGCAGTCTATCATAGACAAGGTAGGAGGACTGTGATAAAGTGGCTCTAGGCTGTCCTGTATTGTCTCTGTTTAAACTCTCTGGAGTTCTGAGACTGTCCATCACAACTGGGCAGTCTTCTCTTAAGTAAACATAGAAATTAGACCATTTTTCTTCCTTCTTCAGAAGGTGTAACACAATTACACTTACATGCATGTTGGGACAATAAAAAACATTAAGGAATATGACCTTCCTGTACACATGAAACAGGACACTAGAGAAAGGCAGTTTTAGCAATGGGTAGAGTAATTTTTGGATTTTTATCTTTGTGCTCCAAGGTGGGGTTAAATAACCAAAAGAGATGTTCCCTTTTGCATTAGAAACAAGAAAAAAACTTACACTCACTAGGTGGTGCAAAAGCTCTTTGGTTCTCCTTTCAAGGTATGAAAGACTTGTACAGAAGAATAAACAATGACAGTTTCTTTCAAAAAAGGTTCCATGTTGGCAAGAATTCTTAAGGACATCTGGGACATGCTTTAAATTTGTCAGGCAATTACACATTTTTAGATCTATTGGAATATTTTCTAGTTGTGTAGATCCACCTCTTCAGTAGTTAATATTACAGTGAACAGAAATTAACCCATAATAGTCTTAAAAATAAATTCATTATTATCAACTAATGTGCAATAGCAATGAAAATACTGTATAGATCACATTGTAATATTTATATTTTATATATATATACCAAGACGGAGTGACCAAACGATGTCAGATAAATAGGCTATCTGACCAAAATAAATCTGTAAAAATAATGTGAAAGCTGTATTTCATATGACACAAAAACTGCATACAAAAGTCTGCAAGTTCCAAACTTTCATACCTAGTTCTACAGTGAGTGTATTGTCAGTAGTACGTCACAGTACTGATGCCTGACATTCTTCAGTCCACATATCCTTGCTCAGGACCACTCTTCATTGATCAGCTTTGTGTTAGCCTCTGTAGTGTCTTAGTTTTTAAGGGCTTTTCAGTGAAGGTTGTGTAGCTGTTCCGTGGTCAAACCTGTCCACAGAAGCACCTTCAGCTGCAATATAAATCAAATTTAAAATGCTGGTTATCAAAGTACACTGATTAACTGGTAATTATCACTGCTCACAGGAGTGACATCTCGGCTATATGTGAACTGTCATGGAAGTGTGGCCCACAGACATTTCTACTATAGAATATCTGCAAAAGCATTATTGCAGTGTACCATGTATAATGGATAACAAACGTAAAAAGTTGTTCTCTGGTATTGCAGCCTAAAGTCTTTTTAAAATAATTAGAATAATGCAGGATTGCTGTAGTCTTGGTATTAAATACGCAACATATGCAGACCCCCTGGGCTATGTAAGGGTTCTAGAAACATTCCAGTTCCACCTGTGTCCCTATACCAGATAAAGCAGTTTGAAAATGGATGGATATTGTGGTAATCCTCACTTATTGCCCCTAGCTGTGTGGGTGAGTGGGGAAGGTGGAACAGGAGAGGAGAATTGCAGGCTCACCAGTGTTCATTGTCCTTTAATGGATAATAAGTATTCCAAAGGGTGTAGAGAGCAAGAGATTGTAGTATCCCCATATATAGTGAGGTTTCTGCTAGCTGCTGCTAGGAGAAACTTCATTTATACCTGGGGATAGAAATTAAATGGAAATGAATAAAAACATTTTAAAATCTTATCAGAATAATTAAAATATAAAATCTGCTTGAAAATATACAATACTATAAATTAAGCCATTTGAACAAATTCATGAATACTGTACATTTCGTTACTGACCCTGCAATGTTCATCAATTAAAAACACAAACAGTAAATCGAAATAATAAAATGATTTGTATTCTCTAACTGTACTATCAGTTACGATTTTGATTTGAATAGTGTTAGAAAATATTCAGAGGTTCACATGCACATGTGAAAGCAAAGCAAGAGTGGAGTGGATGCTGGCAGTGATCTCATTATGTTAACTCTTTATGGATGTAACGTAACCTCTCCTTAACTCTAAATTTTTATTATAAGACCCATAAGAGGTTTTTATGTAAAGTCTAATTTACAGTTTAAGTTGAGTGTTGCGTAACAATATACTCTGCCTGGTATTGCACTTCTTAAACTAATCAAGGAGAACTCTCTACTGTGGTGCTGAAGGAGATAGGTCTTACTTTTACAGAGTCCATAATTTCAATCACTTGTAGTAAGACCCTTTTGTAAGCTTTCTGATACTGCCTTTACAAGACTGGTAGGCATGCAACACACATCTTATGCAAATTAATTTGTTAGCTTGCAATGCTAAAAGAAGCTCTGTGGACAGTGAATGCCACCATTTCTCCCTTCGAGTGACCCCGACACCTCTCCTTTGGAACTGACACTGCCATTTACTTCTGTTTACACATTGCAGTATAAAGATTTAGCATTGTCCATTCCCAGAGTGTCTTGATTCAGTGCTGCCTATATTTTTAAAATGAACATGAACAAAATGTGCATTTCACTTCAGTCTTGTAGTTTGTGCTGATACATTGTTTTTCTTCTGTGATATTTTTCTGCCATGATAAGAACTTTGTAAAGGTCTATTTTTAACTATGGTAAAAACTGTTAAATTTAGCTTTCAGGCCATCAAATGTTTTTTTTTCTTATTTTGAAGTTTGCCTTTAATGGGACTAGACAGATGTTTCCCTATTTTACCGGAAATGCTTGTGATTAAGTTGCAGACGCCAGCATCATTTGCTCAGAGTGTTCAGGAGCTGACCATTGCACTGCAGCGGACTGGGGACCCTGCTAACCTCAACCGCCTCAGACCACACCTGGAACTGCTGGCTAATATTGATCCGAGCCCAGGTAAGTGAGGCTGTGACCACGGTGTGCCAGGATGATTAATCATGTGTACACACAACCTTTGTCCAGATTCTGCCAGGATCGCTGTATAGATGCGCACACATCTTGTGGTCGGAGTCTGCCAGGACACACACACACACACTATTATTTTTAAATATCACTATTACTATTATTAGTAGAGAGAGAGAGTCTGGATTCTGCCAGGAGCTACATATACATGTGCGCCCAGCTTGTCTGGACTCCGCCAGGATCACTGTATGCTGTGTCTGGAGTCGGCAAGGACCTAAAACTTAATATTTAACCTGCCTGGACTTTATATCTCTTTTGTCAGCCAAGGGAGTTAAGGACTGTAAACATACACCATCTGTAATGTGTGGTGGTCAGCCTGGTAAATAGCCTTTTCTGAAAACTGTAAATAGATGCCTTTCCAGCTGTAGTACTTAGTGGTCAGCACTAAGCCTATGATTTATCAGTTGACTGCTCTCCATCTAGTCATGCCAGCATCCACTCATGTCTGTACTGCTTCTGACTGGATTCCAGGTTGGAGTGGAGTTGGTGATCTCTTGGCTGTTAAAGAATGTCTTGTCATTAACTATCTCCTCGTGATCCTCTTGGAAGCCTTATAGTAAACTAGATTATTTAACTTGTAATTGTAAATTATGATTGAGACTTTTCTTGTGTAATACAAACTTTTTTGTTTTGACTGTCAACTACAGTGACTTTGAGAATCACATTCTGTGTCTCTTCTATAGATGCACCTCCTCCAACATGGGAGCAACTGGAGAAGGGTCTGGTGGCTGTGAAGACAGTGGTACATGGGCTAGTGGACTTCATCCAGAACCACAGCAAGAAAGGCACTGACCAGCAGCAGGTATCCCATGCTTTCTTTGATCTCTGACATCAAAAGCTGGGATTGAAATCACCCATTATGTATTTTTCATAACTTGGCTCTTAGCAACAAGTCCCAGGATCACACACACAGAGAATGGTGAGGTGTAGACTTACAGACTAACTGCTCCCAACACCCTCGTGAGTCTGCATGTGCTTGCGAGGCCATAGAGGTTGTTGTGTTGTTGAAAGCTGAGGAAACCTGGACAACTAATCCCAATCCTTGACTGCACTCCACCAGTTGTACTACATTTTGTCCTGTCCTCAAGCTTATTTTTGTGTAGTAACTTCAGAGTTGATTTCAGTACTTTTTTATGTTTATCTTGCAAGCAGTTTATTTATTGAATTGCAATCCAGTGAGCCCTGTTTCAGGGCTGTAGCATTGATTTTTGTCATCTTCCTGTTGTCTAGCCGCCTCAGCACAGTAAATACAAGACCTATATGTGCCGAGATATGAAGCAGAAAGGGGGGTGCCCTCGTGGAGCAAGCTGCACTTTCGCACATTCTCAGGAGGAGCTGGAAAAGTAAGTCAGTCAGAAAGAAGTTATTGTTTAGTTGAGCCGCTCACCCAAGGGGTACAGAAATGATGTACTGTAGTCTTCCCTTTCAAGAGTATCTGCTAAGCATCTGTTGACCTTTAGTCCTGCTGTAACCAGTCCCTGAGGACCGCATAGTGACAGGTATGTGATACAAAAGAGAAGAGGTGTCAAGTTGAGCCATCCTGGTCAGCCATTGAAAGATCTGGACGGTAGACTAGGTAACATTTTGACTTTCAGTTTAAAATTCATTTCTCAAAATGGAACGCTTTCCTTTTTTGTTTGAAATAGAGAACTTAAAATCCTTTTTTGTAATTGTTTACATTTAAGTTTCTGGAGGAGCTGCAAAAGCAGTGAGATCCAAATTTAGCTCTGACTAAAATTGCCTGTCTCAGAAATCATGGTAAAAATCCTCCAAGAATAAACCTGTTACAATTGAAGTACTTGTCAAATTAGCCTTGTTTTTGAAGATTGGGTCAAATGAGACTTATTATTTGGACACAGTGTGGCCAAGTTTAAGACAGCTCTCTGTCCTCTCAGGTGAGAACATAGTCACCTGGACACAGTATGGTCACTTTTAAGACAGCTCTGTGTCTGTTCGGATGAGAAATTGACCCAGTGTAGTAAAAAATGTTAATATCCGAGCCCTTCACAGGCCATTTCCACCTGGAAAGGTGTGCCCTTAAATATCTGGCATGATTTTGGAAAGTATTGACACTACAGACCTAGTTCAGGGTATAAATTCAAAGAAAAGACTTAAAAGAGCTCTGTACCTGTTCGTATAAGGGAAAAGATGCAGTGCGAACAGGCTAAAGACTGCTTTGTGCCTGCTCAGATGTCACATACATGTGACACAGTGTGGCGAGTTTAGCAGCTCTGTGCTCGGGTCCTGCAGGTATCGGAAGATGAACAAGCGTCTGGCTGCACGGCGGAACATCAGCCAGTCGCTCACCCAGCTGAACGATTCATCCCTACTGCCCGACGATGGGGGGTTAGACGGCAGTGTGCGGAAATCCTCACCTATGGCCAACGGCATCATAGCAGTGGGCTCAGGCAGCACCCTCACACAGCTCATCTCCCGTGGCACAGAGCCTCCCTATGACCCTGGGCGCAAGCCAGGAAAGATGGACAGTCTCAGTGCCCCAGGATCCCCCCCTGACTCGTAAGACTGTCTCCTTTTTTGCAATTTGTAGCAGCAGAAAGGGAACTGGGTGTGGATTTTCTTCAGAAAATTCAGAACCCTGTGTATCCTACAAAAAAGAGGACCTTTTTAAATTTTATAAGCTCTTGGCATCTTCTTTTAAGACCTCTTTTCTGTTACTTGAACCTCTGCCCTTTGAGAAAAATGTCCTTTTCTCAGAAGCATGCTGTCTCCATGTCAGATCTACACTACATTTTCAGAGTACTATTATTAATGAAGCAAACTTGTTTTTTTGTCTTGATTCATTTTTATCTTTTCAGGTGGGTAAAATCGACTTGAGCTTATACAGAATAAACTTCTGCCTGCATTATGTTACGCCATTTATTCCAAATATGCATTGAAGCTGTGAAGTGTTTTTTTGCTGAACTTATTTTAAACGTTATTGAGACAAAAAAGTGTGCCAAATGTACACACTTAAGGTTAAATAAAGACCAAATATTTTCTCCAGCTCAGCCTGGGACAGAGGGGGTTCTGTTCCAGTCACACTAGGGAATGGTCATCTGTTATTTTAACACAAGTTTTCATTATTAAACAGAAACTAGAAGTAGAATTAACAATTCTCTCAGCTAAATTAATTTAATTCCATTTGGAATTCACTATTTTTCACTAATTCACTAATCTGTCATGTATTTTCTGCATTTAAATAAAACAAGATTAGTGTGCATGGAATTATGGTACATTAGTGTTAAACATGATTTATTTTTTTCCTTCACAAATTCAAAGAGTATCTTCTTTCAGGCTAAATCAAGTTTCCTTGAAACATTCCAAATTCCCAATGGCCCGATGACAAGCTTGTTTTAATGGGACATTTTAGAATGTAAAAGAAAGTAGGCTATTCAGTGCATCTTGCCCTTTTGGTCTTTAAATTAATTTTGGTTTTACTTGTTTTGAAATGCAAATAATATAATGGCTTGTCCTTTTATTAATTGATAGCTTAGTACCATAGTTGGTAATTAAGGAACCATGAAGTTAGGACAGCAAATTTATTTTAAAGTAAAAAAAAGTTTGCGCTTTTGAAGCACTACACTGCAGTTGTCTGGGATTGATATATTGGGTTTTATACAGATCAAGCCATTCAAAAAGCACAAGGGATGCTGTGGTAATTCACAGTGCACCGTCCCCAGGGTACCGCATGTTTTTTTAAATACCTTGTAAAACTGCCAGGTGGAGCTGGGAAAATGCAGCATTTGGGCTGTTGCCAGAAACCACCTGGTTTTGAATCCCAGTCAATGCTGAGGGACAATCTTTTTCCAATTATAGAATTTAAGTTGTATACTGTTTAGACTTTTAATAATTTTAAGCGGTATTGCAGCATGTTATATGTTAAACTGGTTAAAAAGTAGGTATATTTTATAAAAGCAAGATTGCTCAGTTGGATAGAAGTAAACAACAGTATTCCACCGTCTTTAGAAATGTTTTATGCATCAAAGTCTTTAATTTGGTAATTTATAGTGGGTTGTGGTTTTAACATGCTCATTCTAGCATTATAGAAGTTTATATACTGTACTTCATAAAAAGTTATAATGTTTTAACCTTTTCTAAGACTAAGTAGTAAGAACAGCTCTTGCTGTTATCGTAAAAAAAAGTTTAATCCCACTTGATAGTAATATTAATATGGAATCGTGTAACTAAGCAGCTAAAATATCACAAGTGAACATTTTGGAAACATTTTGACATTTAAAAAAACTTAGTCTTTGTAGGAATTCAAAGCCTGTTCAGAGAATTACTTCGGTTTGTTTCTTACATAAAAGTAGTCCACTATTCTAGCTTGTTGTCGACTCAGGTGTGAGCGTGTGTATCTGGATGAATTATAAGTGATAATTTATTGATTAAGGATTTCTTTTTGTGGAATTAAGTTAAACAAAGGAGGGAAGAAGGTTATTTTTACAATTGCCAGTAACTGGAGAACAGCTTTTTAATGTTGAGCCTTTAAATGAGCCAGCCACAGTTGTTAACTATATTTTGATGTTGTGTATCGCCTCTTTTTATATTTGTAAAAATGTTCCAATTTAAATGCAGTACGTAATATATCATTGATAATATTAATAATAAATGACCCTGGATGAGTTGTAAACTGAAGAGTTAGAGAAGACACGTTGAGTCTTGTCTTTTCAGTTTGAATTTAACTTTTTGAACGATCATTTTGCCTATATTTTTACATAGCCGGATGATTACAAATAGATTGGATTAATGGATTAAGAAAAAATATTTCCCACATACTTTGAAACCATACGGTATCATACAATCAAGAAAAGTCTGTGGTGTTTGTATAGATGAAACTTTTCTGAAGTATAAATTAAAAAAATGGTTAAAATGTATTTCCACATGTAATGTCATTTTGAAGTGCAGTAAGCACCTGCTTTGATGATGGTTTCAAATATAAAACTGGTGAAAAAGCTATGTTAAATGATAATTAAAAGACTTCAAGTTAAAAGAAATTATTTATGTTCCATTCTTAAATTTTAAAGGCAGACATGCTCAGTGCCACTGCAAGCTGCAGAAGGATCTATAATGTATTGCTGAGCTCCAAGCCTCCTCTCAGTGCCCCTCTTCTCTAATGGAGATCAGCGGGCAGTGTGCTGTTTCCTCAGTGACCTGCTGATTTTCTTCACACTATAAGAAGAGTGGAGAATGAATGTGATTTAATCTGTGCGATATGTGTTTTGCATTTACAAAATCAAAGTGTTTAAAATGTTTAAAGTAAAAAATGTACATCTTATTCAAAGATTCTTAGCTGATCGCAAGGAAGAAAATGCACCCGTTTTGTTGTGCTATCTAAACCCGTTTTTTCATGGATTTTAAGGTCATGCTATGTCTAATCTAGGCAGGGACACGCTATTGTTTCTTATTTTTGTTTTTCTTTAAAATAAAAAGAATCAGTTTCCCATCGTGCCATTCAATATTATGTTACGTTTTTATGTTTTTAAGAGACTTCAGAATGCTTTGACTGATGCATAAAAATGTAGTATAATGCTAAATAATTTTACACCTGGGATCAGCTTTATTCAAACTAAGGTTTCAAAAAATGCAACCAGGTACTAGATATTGTTTAAATAAAAGCTGTGAAAGGTTTCACAAATTGCGATCTTTAAAATGCCTGTGGTTTGAAGGATCTGTCATTTGTTGGTGGAGTTATTGACATCTGAAGCATCCTGTCTTAAAAATTGGAGTTTCAATAAGAAAGCGAAGGTTGTAGAAACGGCGACAAATGACCCTGAGTAAAATGCAAACAGTTTGTAATTATTAATAATTTAATATTGTTGATAGTGATCAGATATGTTATTATAGTTCGGTCGCAGTGGAGTTTTTAATATCGCTTTATTCTTGATTATAATTGTAATATATACTCTTATTTTAAGCCTTGTTGTAAAAGCTTGTCTTGAATCGCCCCATTGGGATGGAGTATTTTTTAATTGAATTAAACGAGTTTAACTATTTTTTACTCCCACTGCTAACAGTATTCACATTTGCTCATTCATATTTTCAATTGAGCTCATTGTGATATATAAAATGAGATGTCAATATAATGTACATACTATTCACTACTTTGTTAAACAATTAGTCTTTTTTGGTGCAAGAAAAACACATGCCTTGACCGGGATTCAAACACTGACCTCCCTTTTGAAAGTCAAGCGCCTAATCCGCTATACCAAACTGTCATTTGTAGATAGTCATTTAGTGCCGAAACAGACAAGTAAAATGTTTCCAAAGTAATCACTAGCAAATGAATCAAAGAAGTTGATGCAGATGTTTATAAAGAAAGTGGAATATGATAATACTTTGAGCGCTATATTATATTTAGATAATTAAATATTATTAATGTCTTTAGATGTGCTGTTCCAGATTATGTTCCCAATTAAGTGGATTCTAAAATTTACAGTTTTTTTTACTGCAACGAGTGCAAGTATTCATAGAAAAGGTTAAAACATATAGCTTTTTATAAAGCATATAAACTTAATATAGTCAGAATGAGTACATCAAAACAGTTCCTAAATAACCACAATAAGGTTCAGAGCGGAATACTGTTGTGTATTTTTATTTAAACTATCAGTACCACCCATATATTTGTATAATATTGTATATATTCCTAAATTAATATAGTTTATGACTTTCATAGACTTCTGGTCCTCTTATTTTTATGCTCAGCTGCTAAAATTTCCCTTAAGTTGTACAATTCCATATTGATATTCCATATTAAGTGGATTTAAACATGCACAGTAAAGAGAAGCAATCGTTTCACTAAGAACTAATGCACCACAAGTGCCACCTGTCTGTTATTTTGGCCAGTCAATCACATACCGCAGTAGGCCACAGATTATTTGCCAGGGTGCGGGGTGTTATTGTGCATTTTGAATGGCCACATCTGTATTTCAGAGCAGCAGCCTACATCCTGAAGGGCCGGAATGGGGCAAAACCAAAGCCTTTAGTTTTCATTTTATTTTGTAATGAAAGTAGGACCCTGGTATTTTTCAGGTTGGACTCTGTCCCCAAGAATACTCTGTCGACCCTACCTATGAATCCTCAGCACATGACGCATGCCCGGATGCCCACAGACCACCCCTCAATGCACAAGCAAGTGTCCGTAGTGCCCAGGGCCCCTCAGATGTACCCACAGCAGCAACCTGAAATTTTCTACCAAGAGCCTCGGCCACCTCCCTCCTCGTCCCAGTACGAAACCACTGCACAGTACCGCACAGGTGAGAGTATTGACACGTCAGCCATCCCTGGGAGTTACCTGCTCACTCTGCCTCTTCCAGTGTTCAGATGAACAGCCTTGTTCAGAAAAAGTGCTTGCATGACCAAAACAATCCACATACCAGAGGTTGGTGGTTATGAATGCACACAAAATATCTGGGTGGCTCTCCCAAAATGACAGAGTCCTATAACAAGGATAAAACATATCTTCACCATGCTGTGGATCTGTAAATTGTCATTTTATGTAGATGAAAAATGCTGTTAAATGCACAGGAGTTTCCGTTGTGCTCATGCCTATTTTTTAAAATACTTTCTAGGCTCTATGTAGACATTAAACGTTTACACATACATTTTCAAAGGTGTAACAAGAGGAGGGCAGGGGTGGGAACTGAAATAGCATGCTAGAGCTGTGTGTTAGATTTCTTTTTTTGTATTGTTCCAGTTATAACTGATTAAGTTTTTATTGATGCTTTAATTGTTCTGGTGAGTGTGCAGTTCTCTTGCAGTTTTTAATAGGAATTGTTGATTCTCCTGCCATGGTATCATCTTTAACTTGTTTATTAACTATATCAGAATCTATATCATATATAGATATATTTGTGCAGTATGAGAAATAATATTTTAGGAGTATATTTTTTTCCAAAGGCCTCTAAAAATCTAAATGTTGTATAATCTTTTTGTATCAATTGCTGCTTTTCAAAGAACTTTGTTAAAAAGACTTAATGTAAATCTGTCCTGACTACTCAAAAGAATCCTGTTTCCGCACAGAAGATCATTTAGTTCTAATCACACTTTGCATGTAATAGACATCAGTGTGTAATGACTTGATTTGGTTTTGTTTTCATTTTTAGTGATGGGTGCTACATTAATTTCCCAGTAATTGGGTGTTGTCCATATCTGGAGTGACTGCTGCAAGAGTGTTGTTAATTTAAGAAAATCTGCAACTGGTGGAAAACCAGTTCCTGGAGGGTTTTGTTCCATTGTTGGTCCCAAAGTAGTAGTAGGTAGAGGAAAAATCTCTATTTTTCTACTAGCAATTTAACTAGTCTTTGCTAATTAAAAAAACTATTTAAGTAAAAAAAAGATTAGTAAAAAAAACGTTCTTCCTTGGAGCAGCTACACTGCCTTCTTTCTGCCTCTTCCAGGAGTGTAATTTGTATTTGCTTAGAGTGGCCAGCTATGGCACAGATGCTTCCCTGTTTGCTGACATGAGGTGGTTTTCCTCTGTCCCCAGGTAATCCGTACACATACCAGCCTCCACAGTATGTTCAGCCACGCTATGTGCAGCCTGGACAGAGTGAGCCGGGCATGCCCTACCAAGATCCCTACCCCTATGTGCCAGAAAGGCAGTACCCCAGCCCTCCTGCCCAGTACCCAGCCCAGCCAGTGTACCAGACGCACTATGATAGCCGCCGCCCCTACGCATCCACACAGTCCTACCAGCGTGACGACATGGTGAGGCACAGCCCTGTGCCTGTGGACATGCCCCCTCCTGCTGCTGGCTCACCATACTTGACTGATTCCCGAGAGCGGTACCTCCCCGAAGGCTACTGTCCAGTGGGCCCGCACCCAGGCCAGATGAGGTCCTATCCTAGGGTGAGTATTGCACAGTTTGGATTATGACAAACAAATTTCACTTGCTATGTAGTATTCAAACAATCCTTCTTCAAAGTAGCCCAGACCACCATGAAGACTAAAGACCAAATCTGTGAAAAAAACTGACAAGCAGCTTTAGGGGTATTGTGGACTGAGTTAGCGAGTGTTGCTTTAAGTAAAATCAGTTAATTTGTCTCAAATGGGTGTTGGAGGATGCAATAACTTAACGTTTACAAAGGAGAGGTAATTCTGCCCATATATTCTTTACATGGGTAATATTTGAGCAATTCCCCAGTCCCTGGGCACTGCTCCTGTGTTCAGTGAGTAATAAGATTTTCACAAATCTTTAAATATATTTAGTTGATGTATGTGCAGTTGGTAGAATACCATTAGGCTCTTGGTTTATCTTGATGTTTCTGTAGTGATTAAACTTGACTCTTCTCTTGACTTGACTCAAGCTGCTATTTAATATACAGCTTGATCTTTTCTCAGCTTCAGACATGTCTTCTCATTGGTAAAATCTCATTTTCCCTTCAACATCTAAATGTTTCTCATTATCTTTGAGATAATTCTCTTTTCTGTTTCTGGGCCTTTTTAATATTTCTTTAATTTAGATTTCATTATGTGTTACTGTTTTCCTATCTGGATATTTTCATCCATTTTTATATGCTTTTTTTGTCTCCCAAGATTTTTATTTTTATTTTAGAGAAAGCAAAACCATACTTCCATTACTTAGCCTTACTTTTACAATACACTTTCAACTATACATCACAAGCAAAAATTGTCTATCCCTGTTTGTTCCCTTAGTATTTACAATTATAACTTTTACACAAAAGCATATACATTCCAAATGAGGAAGATGTATACTTTTATGAATATGAAAAGGGAGGAGACTATATAAATGTACCTTAAGTTTATTTTGTATCTCAACATATTCAAACCTTAAAGGTTTAATGTACTGAACCCTTCTGGACCAATATTTGACAAATGTATTCATTGGTAATTTTAGTGAAAGTGTTGATTTTTGCATTTTATATATATTTCATTTATTAATTCAATCCAGTCATTCATTGTTGGTAAATCTGGGAGAAGCCACTTTCTTGTTATAGCTTTCTTCCCTGCTGATAAAAGGATTCCCAACAAATATTCATCAGTTCCCCTCCAATCAAAATCCAGTTTGCCAAAATATAAAGCCTCAAATGTAAAGGGTACATTGCTTTCAAATTTAGTTTCCAGGGCCTCATGTAACTCCTTCCAGAATAGCTTTATTTTAGGGCAGTTCCAGAATATATGCCAATGATCACCTTGGTTTCCGCACTGTCTCCAACATTTAGAGTTTTCCTCAGTATGGTGCACCTTCTGACTCGGAATAATGAAAAACCTAACAATGTTTTTCCAGCAAAACTCTCCCCATAAATGCAAGTTAGTACCCTCTTCATTCGAAATTCTAACTTCACTTTCTTTCACCCATTTATCTTTTATATACTTTGTTGAATGTGATTTCTTTTCCATAAAACCTTTATATAATCTAGATATAATGCCTTTACTTTATTCTGATTTGTAGGCTTCTGTAACTACTTTCAATACCCCATCATTAACAATATCTAAATCTCCCCTTATAATCTCCTTATTAAAATAGTGGCGCATTTGAAGATATCTATAAAAATCTGAATTCTCCAAATAGTTTCTCCTTTAAATACTGAAAACTTTGTAACTGATTCTTATCCATTATATTACAAAATGCAGTTATTCCTTTTTAAATCATTATCCACTTTATTTGGTTTAAACTGTATCATAGGCACCATCTGAGTATCTTTACTTCTTCAGCTAAGTGATACTCTTTTGTAATCCTATTCCATGTCCTTAGTTGAAACTTTATCCATGGATTGAATATTTTTTCACTAATTTTATCTAAATTCCTATTAACTAATAAAATGAATCGTGGCGTTATTTAAAGGGGATAATTCAATATTTTCCCACCTGGTTTGATATTCTGGATTACAAGAATTAATGAGAGGTTTAATTTGAGATGCATAATAATAATTTTCAAATTTGATAAAGCCATCCCCCCTTTATCTTTGAAAGTTGCAATGTTTTGAATCTGTTCCAGGTTTTCTCCCCTACCAAATAAACCTAGAAATCATCTTATACCATTCTTTAAGTTGTTTTGCAGTGACTTCTACAGGAAGAGCTTGAAATAGGAAGAGTAATCATGGCAATAGATTCATTTTTCAGGTTTAATTCTAGAACTAAAACTCATAAAGAGGATTAGGTTCCATTTCTGTATATCTGCTTTAATTGTAATTATAAGGGGTCCATAATTAATTGTTGCTAATGTAGAAATATCTTTTGGTAAATAGACTCCTAGATATCGTATTGAACTTTTGGTCCCACTTAAGGTGGTATTTGCTTTTGTAAGAATGGGGAGGGTTGTAATTAAAGGTTAGAACTTGTTTTTTTACATTTAAGATATAGCCTGCCAGCAAGCCACAGCTATCTAAGAGTTTCATTAGTTCTGGAAGTGAACTACTGGGATCCTCCAGATATAATAAAACGTCATCTGCGTACAGTGCTATCTTGTGCTCATTCTCTTGTATAGAAATACTTTTTATTTTGCTATTTTGTCATATCCTCTGGCTAGTGGCTCTATGGAGCAAAGAGCAATGGAGACAAAGGGCAGCCTTGTCTCGTCACTTGTTCTAAAGTTATGCTATCGGATAAATAACCATTTATTTTAATCCATGCTGTTGGTCTATCTATATCTATAGTTTGAATACCTTTTATAATATTTTCACAAAAACCAAACCTACCTAAGACCCTATAGAGGTATTTCCAACTAACGGAGTCAAAAGCTTTCTTGGCATTTCATTAAAGAAGCTTCTAAATTATATTGTTGAATATGGTTCATGATATGCAATGTTCGTCAAATGTTATGATAGGTTTATCTATCTTGAATAAACCCTGTTTGATCATATATATCAAATGAGGGAGAATCTTTTCGATTAGTTTAGCCTGTATTGCTGTATATATTTTGTAATCCACATTAAGGACTGAGACTGGTCTGAATGATCCACAATCCAATCTATCTTTTCCCTCCTTAGGGATAACTGAGATGATAGCCTCTCTCCATGATGGGGGCATTCCAAAAAAGCATACATATTTTCTTCACTTTCTGAAGGGGGTTGTGTATATAGTTTTCAGTAATTTGTAAAAGTGTTTTGGATTTCTTCCCATTTATAGAATACATCATTACAGTTCTGGTCCCTTATTTTATATATTGTATTATTGCCCTTTTTTTTTAATTTTCTTGCCAACAGCTTTAGTGATTTTGGCCACGACTAACTTTATATCCAGATTAGATAATTGTAATTGCTTTACCTTCTTCTTATGACTGCTCAGAGCAATAATTTTCACCCTTATAACTGCCTTTAATCTGTTCCAGATCTTCTCTGGTCCCACTTCCCCAACATCATTTTTCTCCAGAAATATTTGTATTTCTTGTTTTATCTGTGCTTTACATTGTGGTTCGTTCAAAAGACTGGAGTTCATCCTCCATGTTGTATTTCCATGATTATTACTTAATCGTATGGACAATGACATAGGAGCGTGGTTTGAAAAATCAATTCTACCAATATCGCAATGTTGAATCCTATATCTATCTCTCTTGTATATAAAAAAATAATCAATCCTTGAATATACTGAATGAGGGAAGAAATAGTGGGTGTAATCACGCCCGCTTGGATAGAAATCTCTCCAAAGATCTATTATGACCATTTCCCCCAGCAGTAAATTAATCTTTTTATGCAATGACTTAGCCCTCTGAGAAGATATATTTGTAGAATCAAGCCTGGGGTTAAGACGCACATTCCAATCACCTCCACAAATCAGTATCCCCTGTGCATTAGCCATCGAGTTAAACATTTAACAAAAATCACTACCAGGTGGGGCATATACAGTCATGTGAAAAAGAAAGTACACCCTCTTTCAATTCTATGGTTTTATATATCAGGACATAAAACATCATCTGGTCATTACCAGGTCCTAAAAGTAGGTAAATCTAACCTCAGGTGATAAACAACACATAACAGATTCCACTATGTTATTATTTATTTAATAAAAATAAGCCATCATGCAGAAGCCATGTGTGAAAAACTAAGTACACCCCATGATTCAGTAGCTTGTAGAACCACCTTCAGCAGCAATAACTTTATGTAATCATTTTCTGTACTCGTTTTGGAGAAATGTTGCCCACTTTTCTTTACAACATTGCTTCAGTTCATTGATGTTTGAGGGTATTCGTTTATGCACAGCTCTCTTAAGTTCCCGCCACAGCATCTCAATGTGGTTGGGGTCTAGACTTTGACTTGGCCATTCCACACCTTGATTCTTTTCTTTTTCAGCCATTCAGTTGTAGATTTGCTGGTGTGCTTGGGATCATTGTCCTGTTGTATGACCAAGCTTTAGCTGTCGGACAGATGGCCTCACGTTTGCCTCTAGAATACTTTGGTATAAAGAGGAGTTTGTGGTCGACTCGATGACTGCAAGTTACCCGGGTCCTGTGGCTGCAAAACAAGCCCAAATCATCACCCCTCCACCACCGTGCTTGACGGTTGGTATGAGGTGTTTGTGGTGATACGCTGTGTTTGGTTTGGCCAAACATGGCATTGTGTATAATGACCAAACATCTCCACTTTGGTCTCGTTTGTCCAAAGGACATAGGTCCAGAAATCTTGTGGTTTGCTTAGATGCAACTTTGGAAAAAGTGCCATGCAGCCGTGCTGTTCTTTTTGGAGAGAAAGGGCTTTCTCCTGGCTACCCTTCCATAAAAGCCATACTTGTTCAGTCTTTTTCTGATCATACTGTCCTGAACATTTAACATGTTAACGAAGGCCTGTAGATCCCTAGATGTAGCTCTTGGGTTTTTTGCGATTTCTCTGAGCATTATACGGTCTGACCTTGGGGTGAATTTACTGGGACGCACATTCCTGGGAAGATTGGCAACTGTCTTGAATGTTCTCCATTTGTAAATAATCCTTCGCACTGTAGAATGATGGATTTCAAATTGTTTGGAAAAGGCCTTACAGCCCTTCTCAGATTGATGAGCAGCAACAATTGCTTCTCTGAGTTAATTGCTGATGTCTGTTTTCCTTGGCATGGTGTTAACACACACCTGAATGCTCCAGACTATCAAACTGCCAAAAGTTCTGCTTTTATAGAGGTGGTCACACTTCCTGATGATCAACTAATCAAGTGTATTTGATTAGCAGCACCTGGCTGCTAATTACCTTCTTAATTCCTGTGGAAGCAGTAGGGGTGTGCTTGTTTTTTCCCCACATAGTTTCTGTATTTTGGCTTACTTTTTGTTGAATAAATAATGACCTAGTGAAATCTGTTATGTGTTGTCTGTTATCTGAAGTTGATTTGTCTAATTATAGAAGTTGGTACCAGATGATTATTTCTGCCCTGAAATGTAAAGCCATTTTATTAACAGAGGGTGTTCTTTCTTTTTCACATGACTGTACATTAAGCAATGTTAGTAATTCCCCTTCCATTTTTCCCAATGCTAATACATATCTCCCCTCCTTATCTTTAACTGTAAGCAACTCAAATTGAGCCTTTTGAGATGTCTGTATAGCCACACCTCTCCTATGGCCAGATTTATATGAGGAAAAATAGATTTTTGATAAACTCATCCTTCTTAATTTCTCATGCTCCAATACACTCAGATGTGTTTCTTGTAAAAAAAACAATATGAGCCCCTTCTTTCTTCATTTTAGACAATCTTATTTCTCTTAATAGGGTTAAGTATTCCAATAACATTAAATGTAACTATTTTATGGTCTTGCTTGAACATATGTGATGTAAATAGTAGAACTTTCAAACTCTTTCCCACAAGACATATGTTTCACATTAGTAGTTCAGGTGGGTAGCTGCGTCAGCATGCGTAGTTTGCAAAGGAACAAGTAATAGGTTTATTCCATGCTGAAAAAAAGAAGAAAGAGAACACAACGTTTCGGCCGTGGAGCCTTCTTCAGG